AACCTGAGCGCAACATTTAAACACAAAAGACGCATGTCCCTTCGTGTCCTTCATACACCGGGCGAAATCAGCCAGTTCCTGGTTCACCTTCCTTTATGTAAGCGGATTAAAAGTTAGATTAACAAACTGTCAAAAAGTGTGTTAAATGGTAGCTTCTGCTAATTAAAAATTCTGATGGTTCTAAAGCTCTGTTGGTGGCCATCTTGCTCTGTGAGATTTCACACAGACGAGGCTGGTGAAGGCAGGGCACAGGGGACAGAGCCAGCGTGGCTGGCTGGAGCGGCACCAGGGCACGAAGGGGTTTTTAAAAATGAGACATCCCTACAGAAAGAAAACGCTCTGTCCCACTGAAATTTATGTTTTAACACACGTATCGACCGCGAGAAACACCTCAGGAAAATAAAAAACTTGCTTTGTCCATTTTAGGGACAGAATTTCCTTACTCAGTTGTTATTTACTGAAGAGGATTCTAACACTTGCACAGTTCATTCCTTTTTGACTGTGGTGTCCTCATCCTGGTGCCGGGCCACACTGGCCGCATCCCTTCCTGCATGGCACAAACCACTCTGACAATAAGATGTGGTGAGATTGGAGCCGGCCTGTTTCCATCTGGCAAAACATGAAACACGCCGAGCACCGTGCCCACGGCTGGCTGCCGCACCGGCACTGCCATGCACACTCTGGGGCCTCACAGCACAAGTGCACCTCACACCCAGGGCAAAACACGGTCTCTGGACACTGAAAATTAATAATTTTCCTCTTTTTCTCCACTGATGTCATCTGCTGGGTGGGTGCTACCACTAGCAGCAGCTTCAGCAGGCCGCTCAGGCCACAGAGGCCGCGCAGGCCATGGGACGGAGCTGAGGCCGCAGCCACTGGTCAGTGTGGGCATCCCAGGCTGCTGGTCAGCCCAGGCCCCCGGTCAGCACGGGCAGCCCCCGGACGGCCAGCGCAGAGCCCCGGGCTGCCCACAGCAGCAGCAGCAGAGGGGACAAGGGCTGTCCTTGCAGAATGTGACCCCCGGCGCTGCCCCTCCGCAGCCTGGGCCCACTGAGGACAGCAGCAGCCACAGGCCGCACCACCGCAAGATGCACGGGCAGCAGGTCAAACTTGAGGGGAAATATTGTATTTTTTAAGGAATAAACTGCAAAACTGAAACAAACAAAAGACGATCATTGGGTGCCCTTCCACAAGTTTTTCCACCGATATTTTAGTGTGATTTAGGGTTTGTCTTTTTTGTTTGTTAGAGGGCTATAACCTGGCCTCCACTTAAAATGCATAATAAATATCACTACATTTATAGCTCAAATCTGAAGTGACAGGAGAAAGGGAACGAGAAAGAGCCCAGTGCTCTGAGGGTGAAATAACACGGCAGTGTGCGCCCCTGTACCCGTAGGGTGCAGAGGGGATGATGTGATGGCATGTCTTGTGGGTCATGGGCCGTGCTTCTGGGGTCTGTGGAGCACCTGGCATTTAGGAAGTCACAGTTGTAAGCAAAGCTTCCTCATAACCCAGAACAAAGAGCTCAACAAGGGCTCCAAATGCCTTGTGCCCCAAAAAAAATAACATGTTTCATCACTGACACTCCAGCAAGCTATGATCAAAACTGTTTATCCTGACTCTGTCAAAGAAGTATTTGTCCTGTTATTTGATTGACAATAACCCCTTTGATAAACCTTAGTGGTATGAACCAATTCACAAACTACACGAATAAAACTTGAAAAATATTTTGACAAATATAATTGCCCTTCTCTGACACAGGAGAAATACGGAGTGTAGTTGTGAAGAAAATGATCTGTAAAAGTTTTAAATCACTGTCTTAAAGAGGTTATTAAATAGTATTTTAAACCACAGTGGGAGTTGGATTTTTCTGCTGGCTTTGATTGGCTTTTTTTTTCAGAATAACTTTAGTTAAAAGAGTTGAAAGAATAAGTTCAAAGAAAGTACTTTCAGCCACATATAAAGCTTTGATTATCACACAGCCCTTAGATTTAAGCTTCACTGCATGCCTTATGATAATCTTTTTTTCCATCAAAAGGCAAATTAAAATATTCCACTTACAATCCTTTTTGCCACTTCTTCATAAGATTCCTTGTGCTGGCAGTCTGTTTTGGCTGGAATAAGATGTTTCTGCCCATACAACAAATTATTTGCAATGTGCTCAAATTTGTCACCATGGCCAACGTCAACAAACCCCACCACCATGCCCAAGAGCAGAGAGGGTTTGTTATTGAGTCATTGTTCCGGCGGCCCCGCACGCCGTGCAGGGGCTCCGAGGAGTCAATAGATGGCAGTCCATCTCCTAGGAAAGTGACCCAAAATGAATGTAATAACCAACAGCCTCATGAAGGACAGACGCGGAAGGCCGGGTGGTTCCTCACCAGCGTTCACAGAAATTAACCAAGTATACTTTAGAGAAGGCAAAAGACTCAGACAAACTGTGACAGCCTTCTGCGAATGGTGCCAAAATCCGGCGTCTTATCACCAAACTGAGCGCCCCAGCTCCTCTGCACATACGTGGACCTGCACATGTGGAACACTTGCCATCAAGTTACCAAATCCAGTTTAACTCCAGTGCTTGTGTCCCTGGCTGAAGGGCAGGAAAAGCTCTTCTGTGGCCCCCAACAGCTGGGCAGCATCTGTGGGCCATGACAGCCACAACACCACTTTTCTGTTAAACCTGTGGTATTTTTCCTAATGCTGCTCTCCTCTTTGTACCAAAATATTTAATTTTCCTACAACAGGAAAATCGTACGATAATTTCTATGATGAAATACTACAGCGCTGATATGACAGTAAAAAACCTTGGCTTTTTGTTACAATCCTACAGCTATATATATATATATAATATATTTAAACATTATATATAATTCTAATTCTAATTTAAAAGTTTTGTTTCTTGCCAGAACATTATTTACTTCTGCTCTGCTTCAGGTGCAAAAGAGAAAATTTAAATAGAATAATAAAACATAAATTGTAAACAATTCAGATAATGCAGTTTCTTTTAATTTACTTATTGCAAATATCAGCCATGACTTTTACCAGACAAATTTTTAAATTCCTGGCTTATCCAAATCCTAATGTAACTTTGAGCTGAAGGTACTCTTCCCATACAAGAAATGAAGGGGTGCAAAACATTTCCCACATGACAGAAATGTGTATTATTTGCAGATGAACTGCAATTCACTGCAAAGTAAAAATCTTACTGGAAGTAAAAATTTATTGGAAGGTAGGGCCTGATGCAATACCAATTAATCTGTGAGTGTGCCTATTTGACCACAATTCAAAATGTCCCTAAAAAGCACCATAAATTTCCAAAGGGGTACTTTTAATAATATGGCCATATTTGAAACCACTACATTTTCTAACAAGAACTTGTTTTGACACCTTTTCTTAGCTTTACTTTACATTAAGTGTAGACCCTGAATTCTTTCTAAAAAATCCACAGAAATAATTTCCTGCCTCAAGATACCTCAAATTTTGCCCTGGCATGGCACTTGGTCAAGTTTAAGCTGCCCCCTGCTTTTTTTTTACAGACAAAAATATTTTATAATTGTTGATGGCAACACACTTTTTGAGGAATTTTCAATTCAGGCAGGTAGGATTAAAATTAAATTACATCTTTTATCTTAGTAAGAAACAGAACCCAGGATGTTACTGCACCAAATATTTCTATCTGATTATTAAGTTCCAAGTGTTATAAACATTTCAGAAATTGTTTTTACAAGCACCCTTAGGGATTATAATGAAAGACAGCATTTACCTTTTTCTTTCATCCATTTTAAAACCAAACCAAAGCAAGACAGACAAAAATACTCAGTGAATGCACCTTTTTTTGGATTATAATGTTTAAAAAAAAAAACAAACCAAAACAAAACCAACCAAACCAACAAAAAGTCTTTACCAAATCTGTTTAAAAGTAAATTCTCAGGAAGGGTGGAGGATTTCCAGGGCAGATCTTTGTGTTAGAATCATTATGCACAAAACACAAATGAGAGGTTTAAAGTGCAGATTTCTTCTATTCATTGAATTTTGAAGAAAAAAGCAGAAAAAAGAGCATTCCGGTGCCATGAAGAGGTGGAGGCACAAATTATAAAGCACATCCCATCTACTGCTTCAGAGAAAAAACTAAAGATCCAAAAAGAAAAGTAGTGGAGAAACTTTTCTACTTTGTTGAGAGCAGAGAACAGGAGTTAATTATCTGTAACAGCGAAATTCGTGTGAGGCCAATCTGGGGAGCAATGAAAAGTTCAGAGGAACAACAAATCCCTCATTTTTTAAAGGTGTTTTTATGTCTGACAATTTTGGAAATTAATATGTTTAAGAACTGTGACACCAATGCAAGAATTTGTTTTTACTGGTTAAATACTGTCCGAGGTTTCAATGTTAAACAAATTTGTATGCATTTTGTTGTATTTTTATATCCATTTTACATACGAGGAAAAATCCTAAGTAATAAACTGGTACAGTTTCACAAAGTTGTATTTTCTTGTTTCAGGGATTAGCGATCAACTAAGGCAGGCCAAACAAGCAGTCACCGCTATATCCTGACTAATTATAAATTATCTGCAAAACTTTAAGAGGTGTTTTTTCTCAAAATCATGTCTCCACTCTAACTGAGATTTATTTCACTCATCTAAGAAGAAAGCTTTGTCACACAGAGTGACTAATTACCAGCATCTGGGATATCTGAGATGGGATTACTGCTTCTGCTGTGCACCCCAACTTAAAATTTAACGCTCTTTCCATGTGTAAATGTGGTCACTGAGAGAAGAGAGGCAAAGCACTAATTTAATTATTACAGTATTAAAATGAAAACAGAAGTTTTAAAGATGCTTAAAAAATAGTGACAGTGTTTCATTGCCTTCTTCAGTTCAAAAACTCTTGAGATGTTTATTATCTTCTCAGAGAAGATGCTTATCTATATTTTATGGTCAGCAGTTCACAGAGGAGTAAATAGGTTGGGTGTAGAAGAAAATAAAAAAGGTGTTTCTACTTACTGTTAGGTGATACTGCCTCCATATTTCTGGGCAAGCCTGGAAAATAAAAATATTGATCAGCTAGGAGCATGAAACAAGGTGCTTTACAGCCTGTTGGTTTTGGCATAACACAGTATCCACTGGTGTCGGTCACAGGAAAATAAGAAGCTTAACTGAAAGGGTCTGCATTTCAGCTTCAAAAACCCGGCTAGACAGTTTAATTGAATTTTACACTGGTTTAACACACTCCCTGCCATTGTCAGAAAGCCAGTAACAGTTTTCTCTCTGCCCTTTTTCTCCGAGGGGCAGAAGTTTGGGAGAGCAGTGTGTTCGTGACTGTAGGAAGCATTAATGCTGCAAAACAAACAGGGGCGGATTTAAATTCTACATTTTCTGACATTTTAAATTTACATAACGCTCTAGAAATTAAATCACAAGGTGCCTTCCTTTCATGTACAAACTGAAATATTTTATCTTTTTTGTATGTATCTCTTTCCTAATCAAAATATAATTGTTACATGTAATAATCCTCAGCAGCCTCATGTCAGGTGAGTTGTAAACAAGAACCATAACAGATTGCTTTAATGTTGCTATTTTTACAATGACTTGCTTGCTTTTTTTTTTTACTTTTAATTTTTTTAAATTGTCAGACTTTCATACCAAGTCCTAAGTGCAGCCGTTGAAAAAAAAAAAATTCCAAGCAGGTTTTTGAGTCACAGAAGTGACACAATTGACCTGAGGGACAGTTGAGAGATGGTAAAGAGGAAAACGTGGATCTTTAAAACAAAATCAGAACATGTTGGTGGTCACTAAAGCTCAGATCACTCTCTTAGAGCTTCTTAATGCTTTTACAAAATGTACGATATTTCTGATGGCCCCTGAGGCACAGACAGACACGGAAATTGTGTCACTTTTTGTCATTTTGGTACACAGCTACTGCAGCAGAGGGCTTTCACTTCTCTTTAGAAATTTACCTTCTTATAAGAACAACCCTGTACTCATTTGAACAATTAGCAACTTGGTTTGCCAACCTTCATTTTAAGAAAAGGAAAAGAAATGTAGTATTCCACGGCTTCTCCATAATATGCTGCAGCTGCAATTTCGAACATTGAAACCTCATGACTGCTTGCAAATGAGTACTATTAACACTTCTTTAGATTTCGAATAAATTTTTCACTCGTGCCCAAATTCTTGCCTTCTTTTATTTTGATGGAGCGTGTTAATTAAAAAAAAAAAAAACCACACCACAACCAGTATCTCTCAAAATAAAATCCAAGTTTTTGCTAGTCACCCTGTGGCACATACAGTGTGTTTTTCCCAGATGTGATGGAAATGATATTATTTATTATTCATTCCACCAGTAACATAATTGTCTGCAGAAAAATCTACAATCTGTTCTGTGTAATGGTTCAACATTTCTCCTCTTACTCAAATGCTGTGTGTAAACATTTGAGTTTTATATTAATATTTCTATAAAGGAAATGTGTGAAGGACATCACATTCCTCACCGAGGATCTGACAGTCTGAACACACTCAAGCTGTCTTTGAGCACAAACAAAAGGATTTTCCTCCTTCCCTAACTTAGCCAGGGTTCAGAGAGCAACACATAAACACTCCGTAGCCTGTAAAAACACTGTACCAGAGCTCTTAGCATGTCCCTGAGAGCTGAGGAGGTTTCAGCTGTGCAGGACAGCTGTGCTGGTCCAGCTCAGGGGTAGCAGGCAGTTATTTATACATTAGTTCTGGATACTTTTCGATTACCACAGTGTGCCTGGGCTAATATGGTTGAACAATTGCAATCAGTGAGTTGTCCTATCCTGGCAAAATGCCACTCTGTGCTATGACCTTTACTCACACGACTGCTATTTAATAATCATCATCATCATCATCATCAAAATTACTTATTTTTGAATAATTGTTTGGTTGGGTATTTTTTCTACTCTGGACACAAAGGCGTCACTTTGAGCAAAAATCTGTAGCTGTGAGTGAGAAGCACAGCTGGCAGAGCTCTTGTCAAAACCCTGGGAGAGGCACAGCCCCAGCCCCTGCGTGGTGCTGTCCAGAGGTGGGTTTTATCTTCAGGGACCTTCTAAGGCTGAGGGAAACCAGAAGAAGGAGAGGATGAAGGTGGTGAGGGAAGGCTAAACATATTCCTTCCTTCAGGTGGTGGCTTGGGGAAATACTGCTCAAGTGGGGTACAACAGCTGAGGAGGGGTCACTGTTAAACAGCAGCTCTTTAGAGATGATGCTTTTAACCAGGAACCTTGTTACTTTGCATCAGCTCAGGGCTGTTATCTGCATCTTATCTCGTGGAATGACAAATAGTATGATTAACAATTACTACCAAATACTGGCTCCTCAAATGAGGCAGAGAGGTTTGCTATGGCAGACAGCATAGCCAGGCAGAACCACTGCCAAACCCACCATTTTCCTTATTTGTTTAAAATAACTTAACCATGAATGGCCCTTCTTTAGAGAAAAGCCCCTGTGGTACCCAGCTACGATGGCAGCGTGATGAACTGCATTAAAATAAAATTGCATTTATTTCCTGCCCCAGTGGTCTGACCTTACTCGCATTTAGATGTACCAGCACAAAAGGTGCCCACTCCAGAGGGCAGAGCCACTGCCACAGCGTGCGGGGAGGGCAGTGGGCCCGCACATGTGACACCTTGGGTCACTGTCCCCAGGGTCATGCCACATCTGTCCCCATAGCCACTGGTGTCCCCAGAGCCACTGGTGTTCTCAAAGCCACCAGTGTCCCCAGAGCCAGCGCTGTCCCCAGAGCCACTGCTGTCCCCAGAGCCACTGCTGTCCCCAGAGCCAGCGCTGTCCCCAGAGCCACTGCTGTCCCCAGAGCCAGTGCTGTCCTCCCTGCCACTGCTGTCCCCAGAGCCAGCGCTGTCCCCAAAGCCACTGGTGTCCCCAGAGCCAGCGCTGTCCCCAGAGCCAGCGCTGTCCTCAGTGCCACTGCTGTCCCCAAAGCCACCAGTGTCCCCAGAGCCAGCGCTATCCCCAGAGCCACTGCTGTCCCCAGAGCCAGCGCTGTCCCCAAAGCCACCGGTGTCCCCAGAGCCAGCGCTGTCCTCAGTGCCACTGGTGTCCCCATAGCCACCGGTGTCCCCAGAGCCACCAGTGTCCCCAGAGCCAGCGCTGTCCCCAGGGCTGTGCCACCGCTGCCACAGCCCTGTGCAAGGGCGGCCACTCGTGCCCGAGGCTGACCCGCTGCACGGCGCCATAATGGGAGAATCGAGACTGGGTGCTGCATGTTTTGACCCATATTGAATTTTATCAGGTGCTAATTATTGTTTTACCAGAACAACGGCTTAATGCATCTGTTGTTTAATTCCCACTTCCCTATTCTCCAATGTGAACATCAAAGAAAATAAAACACTCAATCTCAAACAGCCCCTGACAGCAGACCGGGACTCGAGAGCTCAATAGACGAGGCCCTTGCCACCAGTTCTCATATTTCCACAACAATGAGCAAACACAAAACCGGCACTAAGCGGCCTTTGCTGCTTTCCGCTCCCCTCGGCCGGGCGTCTGCCTCGCGCCGAGGGCCCTCGACGGCGGCGCGGCGGGGCGCGGGCGCGGGCGAAGGATTAGCCCCGCTAACATGCGAGCGCCGGCCAAAGGCGAGCAAAACCCGCTACTGTATTTGGCGTATGAATAACCAAAATGCACGCGCTGACAGGAGACCGGGACGGGCCCGCGGCTCCCCGGGAGAAAATGTAGCTGTGATGAGTGACAGGGCTTTCAGGAAATATGTTCACAATCACAGACAGTGAAGGCCATGACCTAGATCGTTTAAGAGCTTGTCTTGTCAAATTATCAAAAGCTTCTTCGTCTCTGAATAAAGAGTGACATAAGTGAGTGTCAGAAAGCTGCAGGCTGACAAGCCAAGCATACAATAACAGCATGCACGTCACATACTTGCCGAACACCGCCACGGCTAGCGGCAAATCTTAATGAGAGCGCGGCTGGCCCAGGAGACTTGGGTCCCTGCTGGCATAGCTACTCATCTCGCAAAAATCCTTCAGCTCCGAGTCAGTTATGGTCTGACACGACGACTACAATTACTAAACACAACTTTTTAACAGAATCCTCTGGTGCTTTGTCAAAGAGGCAGCGGCTGCTTGGAGCTGCCCCGCTGCAAGCCACCACAATAAAACAAAAGATTTGCCAAAACACACACTTTTCATCACCTCCGCATGGGAACTGCCGCGGAAAACACACAATGCTTCCCTTCAAAGGCACTCCTGCGCAAGCAGATGTCGAGACCTCTCCCCACGCTGGCAGCGCAGACAGCCGCTGGTGCCGGGCGGGCAGGGCTGGGGACTGTGGTGTCACCCTGGCCCCGGTGGCACGGCCGTGTGCTCGCCCTCGGGTGCATGGGGACAGCCAGCGGGGTGGAGCGTGGGGAAGGACACTGGGCAACTCAGGAGACACAGCAAACATCGTGCTCCCTGCCCAGGGAAAATGGGCCACATGGATGCCAGCTGCCCCCGTGGAATGAGCCCAGCACCTCCAGCTCCAGCCCAGCCCAGCGCAGTCTGCCAGAAACAACAAAGGCTGAAGGAACCTGCCCGCAGAGGAGAGGCCAGTGGTGGCTTGCACGCCCAGAATGTTCTCAGAATATGCAGAGAAGATGGCAGTCGAAGCACCCAGCTGGTTCATGGGAAGGAGTGCTGACAATACAGTCTTTGGCCATTTGGATGGGGCCATCACACACAGTGTGGCTGCAGGGCACCAGGCTCCTGGGCACTGCTGTCTGCCAGCTCCTGGAGAGCCCATCCAGCTCGCCGAGCACCTGCATGCTGGTTTCCCAGGTGTACATGGAGACACTGCCCCTCTGCCTGCTTCCTGCAGATTAATGGAGCCCTTCTCCCAGCCCTGCTGCTGGCAGGTGAGGCTGCACACCAACCACAAGGCTCAAGACATCCACCGAACTGCCACTGAATCAGTCACAAGCAGCTCCTCTGCTGAGCCTCCCAAGGAAACCATGCGAGGCCGGGCTGCTTCCAGAGCACCTCCAGCTAAGAGGACTCCGTATGTTCTCAGCACTGTCTCCGGAGAAGAGACTGATCTAGCAGGTCATAAATGCATGACCCTTAAAGTGGTTTAAGTAACTGTGAATATTTCCTAAGCAAACTAGGTGAAGTCCCTTGAACTGCCTCACATTCACTTCTGGACCAAAGTGGAAAGTCAGTCTGACAGACTGTGCACAAGAGCCTGTTCTGCACCCTCTGTGTTACAGCAAAGGGGAGTAAACTTGCTGAGAAAGACAAATTACAACTTCCTTTGAGCACCCACAGCTTTTCATTACATATGTTTGGTAACAAGAAGATGGAGATTTTCCCTTTTTTACAAGGAGTCACATGGGAAAGACAAGGGCTGATAGCTCCAAGTTACTCCTGGGGAGATCTCAGGTGGACACAGGAGAAAATTTTTCATGATGAGAACAATCATCTCTTGAGGGAAGTGATGGATTCCTCAGAAATGGACACTCTTAGGATTTGGCTGGGCTGTTTTGTGTAGACCATGCTTTTGCCAAGAAATGTTGGCAGTGAAGATCAGATGATCCATGAAGTCCCTTCCAACCTGGTGTTGGAGGGTTCTGTGATTTCTCGCCCATGAACTGCTCCCATTTCCCCTGGAGGCAGGGCAGATCTGCATCCCTCAGAAAGGAGGCTCCAGGTCTGCTGCTCACCACACAGAGTCACCTTGCACTGTCTCTCCTCAACCTGGCTTCTATTGCCAGGTGTACTGGAAGAAATGATGTCCCCTGACCACTGTCTCCCATCGCAGATGATTTACAAACCCTTCCCTCCGTCACCTCCCTTGCAGGCTGAGGAGCTGTGGCCATGCTGAGGGACACAGAAGGTGGGGACCAAAGCTTTGCCCAGGTGCTCCTGCTTTCCTGATGATTCCTAACATTTCACCAGTTTGGTTTTCTTTTTTACAGCTTGTGAAGACTAAACTGATTTTTTGTGGAATCATATCTCATAACTAGGATTGGAGTGCTGAACAGTAATATGCAGAATCTGTTATTCCATATGCCAAGATGGGAATGTTTTACTTTACATTTATTGCCACTCAATGTCAATTGCCATTTTATTGTGTTCTCCCTCTGATTCTTATAGTTCTTGGGCAGCTCTGCCCAGCTGGCTCACAGCACTGACTCTGTAAGTAATTCAGTCTTCTCAGCCACTCTTGTTGCCCCATTGTTGACCCTTTTCCATGGTACACTAGCATATCCCACCTTTATCCTCTTACTCCATGCCTGTTTAGTTTGCTTGAAAGCTTTTGGCCAGGAACTTTGTAAAACGCCTTTTGGAATTTGCAGACTATGTCAACTGGATCATGTTTACACACATGCTTGTCAACCTGCACCTTTGAAGAACTCCAGAGATCCCTGGGAAGTGGGATTTCCTTTACGAAACAGCCTTGAATCACCCTGTGAATATTATGTTTATGCACCCATCCCAACATGCCAGTGCCATGGTTCCTGCCCCTGGCTTGGTGCCCATGGTGCAGCTGGCAGCCTGGGACCCCCAGCTCTCCCTAGGACATCCCCTGCACGCTGTCCTCACATTATGAACTCAGTGACACTCATGCAGCAAGCACGAGGCGCCATGGCTGGGCTGTTTCACCCTCATGCTCCCCTGCAGCTTTTGGGCAAGTACCCAGGCACTGGCTGTAACCCAGTTTGGGTAATGGGCCAGCGCTCACAGATTTGTAGGAACACTCACATTCTCTTCCATTTGACAGCTTCTCTGGTGCTCCCCTCCACTAAGTAAGGTTTCAGTATGGGAATATCCCTGGTTTTCTTCCACTATGAACATCCCAGATGCAAAAAACACCTTGAGGCCATGAGCAGCAACCTTGTCCTGTCCAAGTGTGCCTTTTGTGTCTTGACCACTTGTTGGCTTCACGGGCTTTCTGCTCTGATCTCAGGAAAGATTTACTGTTGGTATTGATTGCTCTGCCTCTGCTCTGCCATGCCATCTCTCTTTGAGGACTGGGCAGGTGAGCTCCTGCTCTGAGGCCCCAGTATTCACCCAGGTATTCACCTGACACAAGCAGCTTCACAGCTCCCATGCAGGAGCACACAAGAACTGCCCAAACTTTCAAGGAAAAACCTTTCTGATTAAAGGTGGACCCAAATGAGCAGAAAAAAATACATGCTGTGATGTTCCTGATAACCTGTATGGCTCAGGTAGGATTTCAATGCTTGTATGATAGAGCACTCATGGTTCTTTAAAGAAAAGAACATCAGTTTATGAAACTGGTGTCATAAAATGTAAAAAAGAGAAAAGATGGCTAAGAAAAGATGCTTCATTACAGTTTGCAATTTTGTGTCACTGCCTATCAGAATGAGGGTGCAGAAACGTACAATTCACATTCTTTAAAGGTATTGTGGGTACATTAGCTATAAGCAAAAGTACATGTGGCACACATTCAAATATCCTACAAAATAGCAACTCCCAAATACACCGGCTGACCTTTGCACATCTCATTTTCCACTGTGACATGCTCTTTGACCAAACAGAAAAAGTAAAGGCAGGAAGGAGACATTTAGAAAGAGATTAAAATATTTCTGAGTTTCAAAAAAATCCAGTTTATGGAATCCCACAGGTGTATTTGAAAACCAAACACATAGGCCATATCTATAGTTAGAAACCGGAGTGTGAATGTATGCCAAAATTATCACAATTTGCCTTTTATCCTTATTTCTGTTTAATTCAAGAGAAAAAAAATCTCATAAAAGCTTGACTGCTACATATGGGACTGAATTTTGGGGACATATAAGAACATAATAATGTAATACAAGATGAAAGACAGAGACAACTATGTTTGTTCTCCCTTTAATTTTCTTCTATATCTTATTTTAGTAGATCTTGTCAAACCCAAAGCCTCCAAACTACTTCTCTCTAATAGTATTTTCACTGATTACTGTCTGATCATAGTGAAAGAACCATAGATCTGGAACTCCTGATGCATCAGAGTTACTCTTTACTCCTTCCTGGTACGCTCGCAGCACCGCGTCTCCCGATTTCAACCTCCCTATCCCTTTCCTTCCCCAGGAAAAAGGAGCTTTGTGTCCACCACTGCTGAACTGAACCAAACTAAAGACCAGGTGTTGGCAATGCTTTGGTTTGTTTTCTTTGAACCACTCTCCATGAAAACTCTGACAGTGTAAAGCAGCGACTAAACACTTTCATATGCTTCTACAAATAGGCAGTATGTAAAATCAAAGTATCATGAAGAGATTGTAGCCATTGTAAATTCAGTTTTTGACAGGCACACACCAAACCAGGCCTGGTCTCTGTGCCAAGGGCCATACTCACATCAGCATAGTGGCCCTTCATGTCGCAGCGGTTGCAGTGCTTGTTCCAGTAGGCTCTCTCCAGGCATTCCCTGAAATAGTGCCCGGGCAAGCAGCAGTTCAGGCAGAAACGTGCTGGGCAGCTGTGCTGCAGATGGTCTCTTCCTGCACACAGACAGCACGGGGGAAGTTTCTGTGGAGAAGCAAAAGTAGAATCACATTAAGGGACAGTGTTCAGGAGATTCTTCCAGCCTTGCGGCCCCTGCAGGGGCTGTGTCGGGGGAGCTGGGGGGCACTCGCTGCCATCCAGGCTGCAGCACAGCCTCACAAATTCAGCATGTGGAGGGACAGACAGCCATTCTGAGGCCAAACCTGTACCTCTGTGAAGCCAGTTTTCCCAGTGAGTGAGGGTGTTTCCCCCGAGGGTCGTGTGGGATGTGCTCATTCTGAGTGTTCTCGTGGGTAGCAGCCCCAAGGACCGAGGGTTTTACAGATTCTGTTGTGGGGGTTGCTAAATCCACGCTGTCATGCAATGGCTCCCACTTCTTTACAGTGTACTGACTGATTTTTAAACCCTTAACCACAGGACAAACTTTTGGAATATGTGGCATCTATCTGAGCTTCTGAAAGTTAGCTCCAGTTTTGTCTTGTCCATGGTTTTTAACGCTGTTGTTATCATGGCTCATTATACTTTCTGCTTTCACTTATTTACTAAGGCTGTATTTCTGATTCAATAGATTCTCCTTGTTGAAAGTACAATTGAAAAATATTTTACACTTGCTGACTGTTTTACCATATGAAAAAAAAAAGATATTTCTGTATGGCACTTGATTTTTTTTCCTCAGTTTACAGCCACATGGTTTAGTGGAAGTTGTTCCAGCCCATGGCAGGAGGTGGAACAAATTAATCTTTAAAGTCTCTTCCAACACAAACCATTCAATATGAATCAGTATGATAGAATTCTGCATGTTTCTCTTTTATAAAAACAATCAAAGCAATGACATTGCTAAAGAGAGGGATAGTTTCACACAGTAAACTGACTTTGTGCGAGCTACCCCGCAACTCAGAGCACGGCTTCAAAGAAAGGCTAAACCACTGAAACAACGCTTCTAACAGCAAGCACAAAGGTCTATTAGGAAAACATCTGAATGTTCAAGTGATTTAAGCATTGCATTTACCTTTGGAGTGGGGCAGTTCTTGGACAAATGTCCTGGTCTGTGGCAGTTCCTACAAGTAACGTTTTTGTCCGCTCTGTAGTACCGCGTGCCGCTGTGCCTCACGCCCGCGTAGTTGGAGATCTGTGCCTGGTGAAACACAGAGAGAAATGCATTTACCACTTGAGATTCTGTGCTTTGGGAACTGGGAATTATAAAGGTCACTGCTGGCAGTGATCCAGCAGAAATCTAATGTTTCCCATGTACAATTTACACATCCAGGTTTGGAATGGGTAATTCTGCTACAGAGAAACCTGCATTGTCTGGAAGGAAAGTTCTCATTTGAACTTCTGCTTCAGGACATTCTTTTTTGCTATTTAAAACTGCAGTTGCGAAGCTTTCCCTCAATTAGCCAAGATTTACTCACTGTGCTATGTCACAACAAACTGGAATTTTCTCCACAAATAAAATGAACATCAATTGCAAATGCAAGTTACATATTCCCTTGCACACATTAAGGCAAACTGCTTGGACAAAGTACAATGCTATACAAGTCTGGATGAAATCTGCAATTTGCAATTGTAAAGAAAGACTTTAAAAGGAAAAAAAAAAAAAGAGAAGCTGGAAAAAACTGTCTCTCTCCCAGTGACCTCACACATACTTTCTGTGTAGGCAGCCAGAATTGAAAATCCTATCTACAACTGTCATTGCCTAGTAAACATCACAAGTTTAAAAAAAAATACATGAAATTTTGGATGAGTGAACAGGAGAGGTGTAAAAATACCATTTCCCCTCAGGGAAAGAATTTGTGAATGTCACTTGGTTGCATCAGCTGTACTGGACAGTGTAAGGAAAAAGGTAAGGATCAGGACAGAGCAGCTGGAGCTCACTCCTGCTGGGTGCTGCAGCAGCTCGCCTGGGATCTCCGGGCTGCAGTGTCCCCACGCTGTCCCTGGCGAGCCCGGGCAGGCTCCACACTCTGCTGGCTCCCAGGGCTGCCTGGAAGGGACCAGGCTGCCCTCAGACAGCTCTGGGGTTCCAGAGACACCAGGAAGGAAGAGCTGATGTCCCCCTTGCACGGTCTGTGGAAGCACTCCAGCTCTTGGCACCCCTGTCCCTTCCTGCCTCTGCCAACCCCAACTCAAGAACTCCTTTCTCTTGTGAGAGGACACTGCTAATCATGCCACAAAAACACCACAGAGGGGTTTTTCAATCCCATTTACTAATTCTGCTTGTTAATAAGCAACAAAGTAAAGAATTATAGGAAAACTTGGTTGTATTTACCTCTAAGTCTTTATGAGAGATGGACCAGTTCACATCAATTTCTCCTGAAAAACAAAATTAAAATGAATTATATTTATTTTATATGAATATTTTTCAAGAATATTTTAAACGTGATGATTACTGCAGTTCTTGAACTTGCTAACAGGTTTTGATGTACTAAAGCAGAGAAATTATTTCCATCTTTGGTAAAGGAAAGCTACAGACCCACCGGGCACCAAATCTGCCTCACTTGAGCATCAGCACAGGTGCAGCTATTGGGAGAAGTTTTTCTGACACCACCTGACCCCTGGGGTTTAAATTCTTCCAGAATTAAATCAGGCTCCCAAGATCCTGATTGCAGCCCTCGGAGCTGCCCCTGCCTGCATTCCTGGGGATGCCCAGCTCCAGCCCCGAGCTGGAGTGTGGCAGCACACAGAACAAGAAGTTTCTGCAGAGCTTACACCTTTCCTCCGTGCCAGTTCACCAGCCCTGCGTCCTGAGTGCTGCATGCCAACACGGCTGAGCACAGCCTCGCACACCCAGGCTGTAAGCTGAGCAAATCTATTTCCAAACAGCGTCGGTAATGTGCAATAAATCAGGAGGACACACTGCATTATCGACTGTCACGCCATCACCTTCTCACACGCAGCCTTTGGGCTGGCAGGAGGCAAAAGAAACAAGCCAGGAAGGAACGGGAAGGGCAGCAGGCTAAGGAGCAGGGTGCAGCCAGAGCCGCAGAAATGCTGCGTGCGCACACGGCTCAGCGCCCGGGCTGCGCACACACAGCGGGGCTCCCGCAGCAGCTCCTGGGGCTGCAGGAGCGCCCATCCCGGCACAGGGCGCTGGGCCGCACAGCCAGCACCGCCACAGCGCACACGGTCACCCTGCGGGCTTGCACACCTCCAAACACGGCCCACCTGATCCTGCACCTCAACCCGAGGCACCCGCCTTGATAACAGAAATCACAGCAGCATCACCATTTACAGACGGCAAAAATGTCTCCAGTTTGGATTGCACTATTCATTTCCATTACAAGGTGGATGACTGCAAATTAAAGCTGTATCATCTATAATTTTATGTCTTCCTCTTCATTTACTGAAGAAGTCAGTGATTTTGTCTGAGGCAGGTGATGTAGTGTCGGGACACAAGGTGTGTCACTCGGGTGCTTTGGAGCACGGCCCCTGGTTACTGCTGCTCTTCATGCAGCAGTCAGGGCTCGCAGCTCATTCTCACCTGAGCAACGCCCTCAGGTATTTCTGTTTTCAACACTGGCTCATGCTGCCACCGAGACACTGATAATGCCCGAAGAGGGCAGTTAATAAAGCGCTGTGATGAGTGTGACCCTGAGTGGTGGCACACACGGTGAGTGCCATTGCGGGACTGCAGCAGCGCGGGCAGGGCCAGCCCAGCGCCGCTGGACTGCGGTGGGACAGGGACACATCCCTGCCCCAGGCAGCAGCGAGCGTGGGCAGCTCCGGGGAAAACCAGGCCCTCTGAGGCTGATCAGTAAAAGCAAAGAAACACGGCCATATTTGAGTGCATTATTTATGGCTTAAATGCCTGTTAAGGAAATTAATTCATAAAGAAAAAGGTATTTGTAATTCAAAGCTCTGCCTTGGCAGTCGGCACCGCAAGTGCCGTGTTGCACAGAAATGCACATGCAGAATGGTCACAGATCAAAATTACCAGCGAATTAACTCCTGTTAATCACTAGGCATGTCCTTCCTGAGGGCAAACCAACCAAGTTTCTCTTCTTCACTGTCAAAATCCCCAGCTTCACAGGGGAAAACCGTGATACAATGATTCAAATACTCCTAATACAAGAAGCTAAAACTGCTCCACTCAGAAAATAAATATAGGAGCTTTAATGCTGAATGAAATATTACAACAAAATCTCCCCTTTCTAGATCTGTTTGGTGATATAAAAGTTAATTCTAATTCACAATAGATTGCATAAGGTTTTGTTTTCACACACAGTAAGTTCTTCAGACTGAAACACCTAGGGAGAGTTTTGCTTCTGCAACCAAGTAGAAATCCTGCTGTAGAGACACCTAGAGAAATCTGCAATATTTCTCACTGACCACAGTGTTTTGTCTGGCTCTAGATCACAAAATAAATCACAGAAGTCTTCTCAAATTGACAGATCCTTCCGTTCCTTCTGGTTTTGTTTGCTTATGAGGGTGAACTAATGCATCCTGCAGGCAATGCCGGTGCCCCGCGGGTGGTTCCCGGCCACCCCTGCACTGTCCTGGCTGCTCCCTTGGCTGCCGTGGGGTGCTGGATCCCCTGGTGATCCAGCCTCTCTGCAGCCCTCGTCCCCTCTGCTGTCACCCGGGCAGGAGCAGCGTCCCCGTGGCTGTGCCCGGGGCAGGTGGGGCTGGCACCCCAACTCCACCCAGGCTGGCCGGGCACCGCCGCTGGTCCCACCCCGCGGGCTGCCCAAGGGCGATCGTGCCCACGCCACGAGCGCGACCCGGGGCGGGCAGGGCAGCTCTGGGCAGGCACGGGCTCTTTGCTGGGCTCCCCACCCCTTGCCAAGCCTGGCACCTGCGCCTGGCCTCCTCCAAGGCCACTGCCTGCACCACTGCAGAGCGCTCCACGCTTCTTCAAGGTGGGCATGCACACAGAAGGTGGATTCCTGCCTGACCAAGGGCTGCGATTGCTTTGTTTCTGTATTTGCTTTAGTTTTATTTTTACTCTTCAGAATACAGCAGTTTAAAGTCATATTCAGACAATCTCTGTCAGGATTTCCCCCTTTTTCTGTGGAAAAGTTGCACATATGAAACTTATTTAAAGCTTTCTGTAGTTAAATAAAACCAAGAACATCTTTCATATATTTGTGCTTTTAATCTTCCTTATCTTCATTTGTTAAATGCTATCTCCTTTATAAAATTATATTAATTTCTACACTAAGTTTAATATTAAGATTAAGATGAATTCCTGTATTATGATTATATATATTTATATACTAAAAAATTACAACAGGCTTTACTGTATAAAATTCTTGTATGTATACTTTGAGAAAATGGTGTTGTCAAACTGCAGATCAGGGAGGACGAGGATGTAAAATATACACCATTTGTATGAAAATGGAAGCCCTGCACAAGGTTCTCCCTTTATCAAGTACCACATTTTGGCTGTCCTCTGCCCCTGCACAATGGGATGAATGGCGAGCAACAGCTTTGCTTTTATTTAAAGAAAAATTTTGAAAGATCATTGAGATTCACATGTATCCTTCCACCAGCATGAAAATGTAAATTTCTGAGCAGCGCTCGGGGTGAAGCCAGATTTAGGACCACTGTTCAATGTGCATTCAAACCTCCCCTCTTTCATCCCAGACAGGGAGAGGAGGGGAGGAGGGAGAAGGAGGACCAGCAGTCAAAACCTGAAATTGCCCGGGGGAACAATCTGCTTCCGCGGAACAAAACCCCGACTCAGAAGAAACAATGAAGGGTTCACAAAATTTCCTTATCTGCCGTGCTGCTCCAGCAGGGACCCGGCAGCTGATGGGGCTGCCCCGGCCAGGCGGGGCAGGCGCTGCTGGGCACGGCTGCGACCCCCCAAAATCACCCTCCTGCTCCCCTCAGCAGGGCTGGGACAAAACCCAGCCCCACGCGAGCTCTGCCTGCCCTGCCAGGGCTTGTGTCATCACCCGCCTCGCAACACAGGGGCCGCAGAGCTGGACATCCCGCTGAAAATAAAGCACCTCGGTCCCAAAAGAGGGAGGCGACTGGTCATGGCCCCCCTTCTTTCTAATTGGAAAATGAACGACGAGATGTATTTTATTTATTTTGTGTTATGATCAGCCCCGTAACACAGGACACTTCAAGCTGTGGCACAATGATACATGGGCCTGAAGGGCAAATACATTTCCAAGCTGGGCTTTAAAAATTGGATTTTGACTGCTAATTAATGTAGCATATTACAGAATAGAGAACTCTAATTATATTCCACTGTAAGATCTCCGTGGCAAGGACTGTTTCAGAATATCTCTGAACAATATTTACCATACCAGGACACAGCTTCTGCTGCTAGTGGAAGAGCATTTTAAAATGCTTTAAAACCTCTAAAAATCACTAGATCTGTAAGAATTTCACAATGTGACCTATTACATACATCTGAAAATTCCTGATTATGTGTGACCCAAGGTGATTCAAGTCCTGGAGTACTGGAGCTTGCTATAATGAGTTCCACATTTTCTGTGCCCAAGTATCCCTGCTCCCCAAAGGAAAAGGAAGGAGAGGGTGCCAGAGCACAGCCAGGCACTGTCCTGGAACAGACCCCGAGGCAGGCCTGTCACCCCAGGTGCTGTACGGCGGCACAGGAACGTGGGAGTGTGTCTGTGTGCAGGGCGCTGTCCGTGTGTCTGGCCGTGTCTGTGTGTCTGTGTGTGGGCAGGGCGCTGTCCGTGTGTCTGGCTGCGTCTGTGTGTCTGCGTCCGTGTGTCTGTGTGTGTCGGTGTCTGTGTGTGTGTGCACAGGGCACTGTCCGTGTGTCTGGCTGCGTCTGTGTGTCTGCGTCCGTGTGTCTGTGTCTCTGTGTCCGTGTGTCTGTGTGTGCGTGTGTGTGTGTGCGCGTGCAGGGCGCTGTCCGTGTGTCTGGCCGTGTCTGTGTGTCTGCGTCCGTGTGTCTGTGTGTGTCAGTGTCTGTGTGTGTGTGCACAGGGCACTGTCCGTGTGTCTGGCTGCGTCTGTGTGTCTGCGTCCGTGTGTCTGTGTGTGCGTGTGTGTGTGTGCGTGCAGGGCGCTGTCCGTGTGTCTGGCCATGTCTGTGTGTCTGCATCTGTGTGTCTGTGTGTGTCATGGTCTGTGTCTGTGCGTGTGTGTGCGTGCAGGGCACTGTCTGTGTGTCTGGCCGCGTCTGTGTGTCTGCGTCCGTGTGTCTGTGTCCGTGTGTCTGTGTGTCTGTGTGTGCAGGGCGCTGTCCGTGTGTCTGGCCGTGTCCGTGTGTCTGTGTGTGTGTGTCTGTAGGGCGCTGCCCGTGTGTCTGGCCATGTCCGTGTGTCTGTGTCTGTAGGGCGCTGTCCGTGTGTCTGGCCATGTCCGTGTGTCTGTGTCTGTAGGGC